TCAATAAATAATTATAATTGTTAATATTTATCGTTCATTTAATTATAAAAGTTCAAAAATTGATGGAAAAAAGCCAATCGATCCTCTTGTACACGAACACTTTGCATGACTATTTATTATTCATTCGAGTAAGCCGCGATTTTTGAGGCATTAGAAATTCATGGACGGAACAGCTGTATATTCACCTGGCCTATACCTAGCCACAATCATTGATCGCGTGTCGGGCATCTGAAAACACGCGTATGCATTGTTCGGATCGCAATGTACAAAAGTTCTTCCCCGTAGAAATTCCATCAATTGATAAAATGATGCACGCTATTTATATTCGTATTGTGATCAAAATATAATCTATAATTCCAAATTAAAATTAGTTTAATTAAATTCGCACAAAATTCTGATTTCTATTTTTCAATCTTAAGAAATAAAAAGTAAATAACATGGAATTATACATATAGTATCTATTTAATTAAATAGATATAAAATAAATAACGATAATACGTATCAATAATATTTCTAGTTGTTTTGTTACATGGAATAATTAAGAACCATTTGATTGAATCGATGTATAATATTAGAAAAGAAAGAAGATGACATCAGGACCGATCTCCATACATCGGTATCTTCTAAGACAACGTTACAAATTACCAAATAATCAATTAGCTTGGACTTCCGGCGTGCTTAAGCAAACAAATGACAAAACTCGTAGCGCGGCTCGTAAAATTTTTGGTAATTAGAGACTGCTGGAAGCGCAGGGCGGGGTCAGGACCAGGCCTAACATCGTTTCTTCACTTTCTTCGTATGGACGCATACTCCGCTACGGATGGGATCGCGCGCAAAAAGAGTGCAGCAAGTCTAATTTTACCGAGGGCGACAAAACCCGCGTGGAATCTGCATATAGATAGGGTCATTCCTGCAATGTAATAGAGACGTAGGAACGAGCTCATAGGATTCCAAAGTTTTTCTCCTAAAACTCGGCCGTTTCTCGACTTTCTCGGAATTCTGTGGCTAGCGTGAAACGCATGTTCCGAGACACCGCACAGTTTCTTTCCAAATGCTACCCAGATCGAACGATATATGTAGTTGTTACGCGCGAGATCGTTCTTATCACGAACAATAGACAGGGAATTTAATACGTCGTTATCATTTATAATTATTATATCCCACCAATGTGTGTGCGTGTATGTGTGTGCTCAGTAATGTTTAGCAATTCTATATGCGTTCATACAGTTGTAAACGGAAAAGATACTTCCTTGCGTTCGACTCAAATTTTAAATGAAGTAGGTTAGTCAATTCATAATTCATGTACAGTGTAATAAATACAGTGAAAAAACAACAGTAAGAGAAGTAAAAATATAACACCTCAGTAGCTACTTTATTATTAAATATTCTAACTTGCTCCCCAGAACTTCTAAACACCTGGAAGCAACGTGATAGAGTGAAATGTAGGTATATGTGAAAAACAAAATTTTAATTTCAAAATCGTTTACCGAAGAAGCTTGGAAGCTACTTTGTAATTACTTCGATCTAATAATAGTGAAATTAATGATGACTGTTTATTATCGCGCACGCGTCGCAAGGTACACGAAAGGTTCCACAGAAAATCGTCAAATCCAAAGCCGCCAATTTGAGGGGCTTCAATTCTTCACACTCGTCGGCAGTTCCAGTTCCTCATATGAAGGTTTCCGTCATCAGGATCATCACACGCGATATCCCGACGATCTCGATTGGTAGCCGACCGTAATGCCTGATCGACGGCGCCAGAATCCGAGGAACCCGGTTGCGTCGCCCGTCGCTGTGAGACACATCGGCACGTTCGGGCTATCATTAGGCCGCATCTGCCGCGCGGTTGCGAGAGGAAAGATATAAAAAAAGGCTGTAATAACCACCTTAAACGACGTATATTCCTTCATTCTTATGTCTCAGTCTTTGTTTCCGTGGCCGCGGGTTCATCGTATCATCGTTAAAGTGATCCTCCGCGACTGGCTCGGGTCGAAGGTGCTCATTTAGAGCCTGGGGCTTTAGGCGTGTTTCGACTATTTCTTCTATCCGGTACGGATGTATTCTGTCTCGTTTTCGAAGCAATGGGACACGAGTAGATGTCGCGTGTCCTTCGTCATTAATTTTAGACAAAATAATCCAAACATTTTTCAGTCTTAATCATTTATGTCCCATCAATAGACATATCAAGATATTTCTTACATAATTTTAGACAAATGTGTCTGCTATAATAATTTCCAAGTTATATTTAATAATTTACTATTTTAAATATAAGGATTTGGTAATTTTAATCTAATTTACACAAAAATACTAAAATTATTGCGAAGACCGATGAGTGGTAGCAGGTGTTAATGTTTTTGCCGTCGGAAAGACAAATGAGCGTTGCGACGGTCGACGTGCATGCTTCGCGGAAGAAATCGCCGACGGTGATTTCGTGCGGCAAGTTCAATCGGCAGAGAACTTTTTAAAATCAATCAAGGACATCCGCGTGGTCGAGATCGCGATTAAGCGTCCTTGTGGTAGTTCAAGGCTGAAGTGTCTCGGACACAAGATGAAATCGGGAGGTGGACCGGATCGCCCGCGGCTCCATCGAAATCCGTGAACGGGTTTCGGTACATTGATCGAGAACAGGAGTCCGTTCGATAACTAGGAGGATCTTATCTTAGGGGGCTCCCAGTTTCGACGGTCGCCGTACCTCGAGCTCTTAAAGGATGTACCCTCGAGGGACGACCGTGCTTTGAGGGCGCCGCATCGCGCCAACCACGCCTCCTCCACCGTTATTTACCTCCGTCCTCTTCGCCCTTGCGATTTTATTGCCTTCTTCTCCCCCTTTTTCGACGTTGGTCCACCAAGCCCGGGAGCGATAGATACCTTCGGCATCAATAATGGACGCAACTGGTCCGTCGATCTCGTCGATTTTACGAAAAATCGTAACGTATACGGAAGATCTTCGCGTCGAATAAAATATTTGCTATAATTCTTCGAATAATAACGAAGTTGTACAACAATATTATTGTTCTAATTTATGGATTCGAATATAATAATCATAACTTTGTTTTCTGAAATTAGTTGTAAAAATTAAAGTAATCACAGTATTACTGTACATATAAAAGTTGCATTATATAATAAATAATTAATGGCAAAATTTCCAACATTAACAATAAATAATTTTGCATAACGTTTATGTATGTATACATAAACAATAAATTATATATATATATATATTTATTAGATTTAAACAAATTTAATTTTAGATTTAAAAACAACTGGTAATATGTGACCTATTTGGAAGTGATATCTTTATGGATCTTTATGGAATTATGGATCTGATAAATTTACACTATAATATATTATTATTATAAAATTCCAATGGATTAAGTATCAGCCAAATAATTCTTATACTGTTGGATATTACCTTTACAACAATACCTAGCACTCAAAGCCCAACTACTATTATGATACGGTAGAGAATAATGCGTCTAATAAGTGTACCTCCGTGTTATCTGATTTTGTAAACTGACGTTTTAACTCCAACTTGTTACATATACTTTCTGAAATTACCAGTGGACAATGAGTAGCGTCTTTATGCATCCATTAACGCTCATAAGTCGAGTAAACAAGCGCTTGTAAGTGCCACATCGCATACCGTGGTATCTTAACGCCGTCGAGATAATACCCGCGTTTAACTTTAACACACGTTTGAAGATGATTCTGTCAAAACAATTTTACCATCGACAAAATAAACTTCAGAAAAATCTATGCTTTAATTTTTACATCGTGATCGGCTTCTGGGAACAGTTGCACGATCGATTTTTTTGCATTCTTCATTTTTTCTCGATGACTGAAAGGGCGAAGAATGCCCTCCTCATAGCATCAAAGTCTTTAATAGCACCCAGCTCTAGATCAGATAAGTTCTAACAACGTTACGTCATGTAGATCGCCTTGGGGGCTACAAAGGATCATCGACATCCCTCTTGAACTTCCTTCTTTCTTTTATTGCAATAACCTCGGTATCCGAAATTCTTGCGTAGGTCAGAGAAATGCTCACGGCTGAATAAGGGACGAAGAAAAGAAACTTTGAGCACAAAGTGAACACCCCCGTGAGGACGTAACTTCCAAGGATATAAATCTCCCGGGACAGTGATGCTCCTGCCGCCGGCAGGGAATTTAAGAAGAATTCATTCGGGGAGGCGCTATATGTTGAAGACGAAGAAGCCGTGCAGGATAGCGAATTCTTTTCGTAGCGACAACTAATAATTAAAAATCGTCTGTTAGTAGCTGATTGATTATTTCTATCAGCCAAGACAGTCAATTCTATATAAAAACTATTGTTCAAGCTGCTGCAACTGAGCATTCAATTTCTGAATAAAATAAAAAAATTGTAAAGTTTTATCAGCTATGGGATAATGATACTTAATTTGCTTTAGAAAATGTGTCACTAGTAAGCACACGTAAATATCTCAATTACATATCGACTTTCATAATCTTATAATTATTAGTAAATTCTAACGTTAAGGGTTTTCCTTGAACAAACTGAAACATTGAAACAGATATCATCGGCCTGTGTAGCACAAGTAGCTATTAAGCTATAACCTATTTAGAAGACTATTCCATCGGTTAGCTTAGGTAGTATCTACCGCACATGTGCACATTCCCATTATGCCAAACATTCGAAGTAAAACACTTAGCAAAACAACAGAGGAAAGAAAGTAAACTTTTACGGGAAATCGTACTTGGTCAGTCTTCACTATCACAGCAATGCTGTTCTACATGTAAAAATTGTGTGTAACGCCTAGCGGGAGAAGGATGAACGTTCTCCAAAATGGCGACCATCTGTCTGCGCTGCACGCACTCGGTAGCACGAGTAATCACGCACATGTCTTGAAGCTAAAGAGTTTCCTTGATATTTCACGGTTCTCATGCGTCCTTATAACACGTGCGAGCGAGAACACTTCACTCTGATGTCACCATAAGGGAAATAAATATAATCGATATTACGTCACCTGTCACAATTTCAACGAATGCAATCGCAAGGTTGATGGGCGGGTTGACGCGCGACGGGTTCTACAAGGATTATCTTTCAAGGTCGTCAAGATGGCGGCTTCCGACGCGCGTCTCGGCGCTTCGGAAGTCGCGGAGTCATCCCCCGATTAGAGTGACATTCGGAAACACGTTGGTCTCGTTGCGGATCGGAGCGCACGAGGCGGACAGGTGTAACGCGCAGCGGCAGTAGACACCAACTGATCTCACATAACAACGGCCGATAAAATTGTTGCGTTTCTACCAAAAATTATCCTCTTTTTTTCCCTCGCGGTATAAAAAGTACAAAATTGTGGTAATTTAGCCCCCACCAAAACGGCGATGGCGACGGTGGCGGCGGTAGCGCTACTCCGCTTGTTGCTTATGGAGAAGAGGAGAGGCATCGGGGGCACGAGTGAGAGAGAGAGAGAGAGAGAGAGAAAGAAGGAATTCCAGAAAGAAGAAGAAGGAGAGTGATAGTGCAAGACGAAGAGAGAACCGCAAAGAGAATGAGAGAGGTAGAGGAGAGGGGTGGACAGAGGGACGGAGACGAAACGGAGGCCTTTCGCTTGTGAATACACCGCACTAACAACTCGGGACAATTATGGTTCAATACAGCCGACGTTAATAGCAATAGCGGCTGGTTCGCACGCTCGGCATTCTTCGTGTTCCGGCTTCTATTCCGTATAGAAAAAAAAAACATGAATCGCACGGAATTTGCGCTTCATGCCATACGCGTTAAACCACATGTGTGACAACCAATCAATAATTGTCAAATAATAATAACAACATTGAAGGAAAAACAAACGCGCCGCCTACAGAAAATTATTTTCATATAATTCAAATGAACGATAAAATATATACAATAGGCACTTATTTAATTATTTTTTTTTTATTTTTGATGGTAAGAGAACTGCCAATTTAATACTATCTAAGTAAACTACGTCGTTTTATTCGTCTTCTATGAGAAACGTACCTCGAATTTGGCGCGGTCCATCGATAGCAGTTGCGATCAGTATTGAAAATTCGAAATCGGATATGACCGACGCAGAGAAGACTCCTCGAACCGCTCTGTATTTCGCGGGCACTGTTACTCCTGGCTCGCGTCGCCGTTCGTGTGAACACGGCCGATGCTTTAAGCCACCGAGAAGGGGCATACTATGAAATTAGTATAATCACGATCAAAATTACTCGCGCCGGGTAACGCTGAACCACCAACCGCCGCTCAAATAACCCGCCCCGTCGTCGCCAATCGGGACTCGCGAGTCGGCGGCCATCTTGCGCGGCGCCGCATGCGCGTCGGAAGCCACGAATTACCGCAAAAGTGGATAATTTCTGCTTGCAGGGTGCGCACCAGGCCGTCCACTGTGTACCGCTCTGTCATGCTCGATCCAGTTTCGAAACCTTGCGGAAGAACTTTGATAGAGCGGACAAAAGAAATCGATCCCTACGAATAGCCTCGATAAATTAACAACTGCACGAAATAGCTACGCTCTATGTCATTTTCTTAGGGAGTGATTACGATAAAAAAAAGAGAAGAAGCGGGGTTGCTTGAATGCTCGAGGGGAATGTACGCAGCAGGAAAAGAGAGCGAACAAACATAGAGGTTTGTTGGAAGAAGTAATAGATAGGGGAGATAAACATATTAAACTTATCGCAGAATTGCAGGACACAAAAAGCAGGTAGAAAAGAATAGGGTAGGGAATACGAAAGGACATTTGTAAGAAAATGGAAGAAATAAATAGAATTTGAATTATTCTTTAAATAAATTGGTTAACAGCAATAATGTTGATTTATTAACTTTTATTATTATGTAATGTTGTGTTATATTTTTCACACTTGCAAAAATTGTATCTTACGATATTTGCATGATGGACTTGGCAAGTTGAAATTCTATCGAATGTAATAGAAAGTAGTTCACTTGAAAGGAGTGTACTTTTTATTAGAATTAGAAGCCTGTCTTTTTAGCTAAACTTCATCTTTTCTCTTTTTCTTTTCCCGTTGGATGATAACTCTGATGAGTTGAAAGAAATAGCTAAAAAGAACAGATCCTGGATATGAAAGTGATAAAAAAAGTCCATCTACTTTACACTACTAGCATTTACGAATACAGTACTCATTACGTTTTTTTGAAGTCAGTCATCATAAACTAAATAGTACACCAACACATCAACATTAAGGGATGGTGATTCTCCGCAATCACTCGCGGTACTTTCTGTCACAGGCGGGCAGAATGCCACTGGCGATAAATTCCATCGCTTTCCTCATGCACGTCATTCATCATTGTAGGTACTTTGCTCGCGTATGTATGTACATATACGCATGTACACGTATTACTTTTCTCCTGATGACCGCGAAGAAACATCTCACGCGACTCGAATCCGCAAATCGCGCTTGCAATGTCGCTCACCCGGTTTTACCGCCGCAAGGCCCTCAGCTCCCGTTCGCAGCAGTACCGCAGTACCGTGTAATTAGTAAGAGCGAAATGTTTAGGCTGCTCTCATCCGTCGCCGAAGAAACGCCCCTTCATATACAGGACATATAGTACGTATTCCTTTGCTACCAGAGGAAGAGGAAATGGGATTTAGTATCTCGGAAGATCATAATTTAAGTAATGGTCTTTTTATTCCCCGTATAAATTTTTAAGTATGAAAAATTAATAGCTGTCGTCAAACATTGTTCCATAAAGATACAAAATCACGAAGATAGAAAGATTCTTCCATTTTCTTACAAATGCCCTTTCATATTCCCTATTACGATAATAGATCGTTTCAATGATCCTTAGCAATGATAGAGAATAAAAGGTATTTTAATAAGTTAAATGAAATATGTTAATAATTCCTGTTGTCTGCAAACTGGAATTTAATAGCGTAGGACTTAAACAATTTATCGCATATTGTTAATCACTACAACTGTTTCTCGAGCGTAAAACTTGGAGTCCTGTTCAGCATCAGTATAATTGCACGGTAGATTGGCCTCATCATAATCTAATTAGTGACATCTGATAAATTGTTCTTATGTGCTCGTACACGTGCAATTACACCAGTGTGCAGAGAGCTTAATGCGGCCGAGGCCCGAAAGGCGCCATGTTACGTTACGTTACATGGAGTGGTCCACTGATTATAGTTCGTTAATTATCGGTGGCCGCAGCCAACCGAAATTGGAGGATTCAGAGTCGCCACTCTTGTTCGCGCATATTAAGCCAGAGTGAGAATAAAAGCATAAAGATCGTCTTTCTTCGCATTGCGTACAAAAAAAAATATCAATCGGTTCCGACATGGTTTGCTCATATAGTATAAAGATAAAAGGGGTAGTTAATGCATGTTTACGCTTTGTGATTAGTTATGTCCCAAAAGTCACAATTAAACTTTGCAACGCTTAAATCGACAGAACAGTAGAATAATTACATATGAACTGCCACTACGTATAATAGGTATACAAATAACGTTATACTGAAGTATAAAATAGTAAAAAATACGAAAAGGCAACACTAAGATTGTTAAAACACACTCAATCCATCTAGAATTTCCATCTAAACTACATTATTACTTCTTCTCCATGAACCTCCCGTGTCTTTCACTTACGGAGACGTTATGTTATCCTACAAAAGACTCTTGCTTATCCTATCCAGATCTGCATTGCAAAGGAGAAGAAGCAAAGAAGAAAGAACGCGGCGAATAGAAAGAAGGGCGTAGTGCGGGAGATTCTTGCCAGTCCTTCCGCCGTTTTTCGAGGCGTATCCTATCTGCTACACCCGGGGCACGAATACGAATTAGGACCGAGTCGCAGCGGGATCGGGGCACGGCCGATTTCGTGTATGCTGGTGCCTTGGGCAACGGTAAGTTGCTGCAGTGGGTCTAGCCACTGCTCTGCCCTCTGTAATTATACCGTGTACAGCCCACCGCCGCTTTACTCTTTCTCCGAGAGCCTTACTTCTCTCCCTTCGCTCCCTCGTACATTTCTGTTCCTCGGCAATGTCTCGTGTTGTTCAATGTGCGTCTCGCCGGCCGTGGTCCCGCCGGGGGCGAAGGTTGCGCTGAAAGCTGAAACAGCCGTCTTCGAGTACCTCCCTTGCCATCTCCCACAAGCTCTTGTCTGACTCCAACATGTCGATTTCTTACCTTCAATCACTATCTACATTCTGTTCCTGGTGTTGGCAGCTAAATGTGTATTTAACAAAATAATGATTTTGGAAAAGAAAAAAATGTTATAATTATTAATTTCTATTTGCGAGGGTAAAGCTCGTGTGTGTTGTGTAGTCTTATTTTTACATAATTACACGTTGACATATTATAATTCGCTATAGTTATTAAAATATAAATTGTAGTATATAGACGATGTTGTAGACGATTTTAACTATTACTAGTTATTAAAATATAAATTGCAGTAGTCGTTGTAAATTATTTTTACAAGTGCCTCAACAAGGTAAAGACGGCTCTATTGATCGCAACCGACGATAAGTCATCGCACGTCCAACCTTTTACTATGACACTCCTCAAGCATGACTATCAGGTTATATATCGTTATTGCTTTCTTATCATCGTATCGAGATTGACTTTACGCGGCACGTAATTAGCATCGAGGAATTATTACAAGTAGCGCGCGCCTTTGATTTACGGGACGTAGGGTGCGCTTAGCTGCGCGCTGCCGCGCTCCATGAACCGCTTTTCTGATCTCGTGATTTCGCAATCTTGTATCTACCGCATTACGCAAAATCGTGCGAGCAATTATCTCACACACGCACGTCGGCGCGGTGCGTACCCTCCATTCATTGCGTCGGACATCGTCGCGGCCGATATTCAACGAGCGCATCATCTACATCTCGGTCGCCTGGAGCAGTCGGTGCCCCGTTGTGGATATTGGAGAGAAGGATAATTGGTTCGGGAGCGCCATTTCATTCGCGCGATCATCCCGATATGTATCTCGATACGTATCTAGCAGCGTTGTTCGGCGCAATGGCGGCGCGATGGCGATTCCGAGCCGATTTAATATTCGTGAAAAACGCGCCGGGCGCCTACTGACGGACGATTGGTACCCAACCCCCCCCGGGTGTCTTCATCTTTGTTTTTCCATCGGCTTATTTATTCTGTAAAATTATCGAGACGGTCATCTGCGTACGTCATGCCACCGTGTATAATCACAGGGAGAAAAAGAAAGAGGATGACTGGGTCATTGCGCTGTGCGACAGCACGGATTTGCATCAAGTTTACCTTTTG